GATAACATACCACACATCAAAATTTTATAGTTTTAAGATCTCGATATGAATTTGAATATGTAGCTTAAAAACAGAACAGCTGAATTCTAGTTGAAATTATCTATTCTTTCAAAACTAAAAAATACTTAATAAGAAAACGATTAAAAATTTATTAATCATCAGCACAAATGACACTATTTCAAGTAATTTGGATATTTTTTTATTGTTGTTTTCCGAATTATATGGATACAGAAATATATACCGTTCCTTAACAAAGGAGAATATACTATAACAGTTGCTGTTCTTGACGTTCTGAATTCATATTTAGTTATTGGAATGACGAAAGCAGTGTTGACTTCAGTTTAATTTGTAATGAATTGAAGAAAGAAGAAATGCATTTTACCTTAAAACACACATCTGTAACAGTATGCGATAGCGAAATCGGAAGTTATCAGTTGCAAGTTTGTTGATAATAGAAGTTTAAAATTATTGAGGAATTTTCTTCAAATGTTTGGCGTGTTCTGTTTCTGAAAGATTTAACAATGTTCTGGAGAGTTTTTTCAAGCTTTTCGGCTTTTTCCTTAGGGAAATTTTGCTTCTTATTTCGGGCAAAAAAAATGGCGACCGACTCTGCCAGTGACTTTGATGGAACTAAATGAAAGCGTGATAAATTAATGTCTGATATTTACAGGTTCCCGCTAGAGGGCGTACTCGAGCGTTGCGATCGCGAATAAGGAAATAGCGTGTATATTTATCGCATGTGTTACATAAATTATCGTATGTGTTTTTATTCAATTATATAAATGCTAACATCCATTATTTTGGCAAGTCCTGTTGTATCAGCTTTATGCACAAAGTGAGGTACATAAAAAATGGGAATTTATATGTTAAACAAATAATACAAGGGGTAAATAAAATCTTCTTGTTTAATGAAACCTTAAAGGAAAAAGAAAGGGAAATTGTTCTAGCATATCCATGGTAACTAACTGACAAGAGATAAGGAAATATTGGGTATACACATTATCACATATTTTTAATTATCATTGAAAAAAATACATTAAATATGTGATGTTATTCAACACACATTCTCAAACTCTTTTATTGTACTATTACTCAATTAAGCACTTTTACTTTGTTAACTCTCTCAAAGTAAGATATAAATTATTTCTTAAAGCTTGTTATAGGTTTGAGGGACCGACAATAAATTACGAACGGAAAATCTGAACAAACTATGCCTAACAATGTAGCAATAAAGTTGCAACTAGTAAAAATTACTTTGATTATTATATGCAATATTAGCTCAAACTTTTGTTAGTCTAACTTAAATATTTCTGGAGTTACAGACATTTTTATGAAAAAAAACTAATTTTTTTGTCTTAAGCTTTTTTGCTGTAACTTTAGAAATATTCAATTAAATTAAGTAAAATTTTCAGAGTAGTTTAAAATTAATTGCAAAATGTTTGCTTTAAAATTTCATAAAAATTCGTGGAAAACTGTGCAACATACAAGTACAATTAAAGTAGTTCTTTTATACTGCGCATGCGCTGAAAAAAATTAATATTTTCTCCATAATTTTGTAGCAAATTGTATTTTACAGCCAATGAAAAAAGTCTGATTTTAATATATTAAAAATTTAAGAAGTTTCAAGCAATTTTATAAGTAGTTTTTTTTTATTTTTACTTTTTAAAAGAAAAAGAAAATGACAAGGGGTTTTCAACAAATAGTATTTTGTATCATAAGTGATAACAAATGAACATTACAATAAGCGTTCATTCACCGAAATATGATTGTATAAGAAAACATGCAAAAGAGAAAATTATACTTTTATAGGGATCCAATTATGCCGGTGACATTTTTAATAAAGCTTGCTTTATAGAACGAAATTAAAAATTTCTGGCAAACCCCTTATCATTTTAAACTTTCTTCTAAAAAGAATGAAAACAAATAAAAAATTTCCTGAAACTTTTTAAATTTTAAGATATTCAAATCGAGCTTTTTTTATTAGTTGCCAAATACGATTCACTACAAAATTTAAAAAAAAAACAAATATAAATTTTTCTCGAGCATGTGCAGTGTAAAAGAATTACTTCAATTACTCATATCTTGCGCAGTTTTAAACAAATTTTTCTCAAATTTTAAAGCATTAATTTTGTTAATAGTTTTAAATTGCTGCAAAACTTTTGTTTAATTTCATTCAATATTTTTAAAGTTACAGCAGAAAAAACTCAAGACAAAAAAAACTTTATTACAAATTTTTGCTTCATTTTTTGGTATAGAATGTTTAAAAACTTTTTTTCCCATTTGTAATTTATTCATGGTCTCTCAAACATCAAAAAGCTTTAAACTCCACTGATATGTTTGAACAATCGCATGATCTAAACACTTCTAAATTTATAAACCAATTATCTTAGTATTTTTTGAGAAATATCAAAAAATATGTTAGCATCTAAATGTTTTTTTAAAGGTTGTTTCTCCCACTCAATATGATATTTTTACTCGTGTGATGAAAGAGTAAGGAATATGAATTAAGTGACCCAGGCCCATTTGGCCCTACGTAAGAATATCGCAGTCACGAAAGCTAACGCGATCAGCACGAAAGGGAAGCCCCCGAGTCCCGCAAGATTAAATGCACCATAGTCGCGTCGACGAGCAGAGGAGACCAGAAGCCCCGGCCGAACCCTGGAGGCTCAAGCGCCAAACCGGCTGCAGACCATAGGACCAGTACGGCCGACAGCAGTGAGCCAGGCCACACAGCCAATCGTGAGTCGTACTCTGACCAGAAGGTCCGTGAGCCTCTCACCAAAACCAGAACTTTATTAAAAATACAATGAAAACAAAAGAACATAGGCGAACAATTTTTTACAGGTCGATGATCAGAGTTGATCTGCCGGGTGAATTACAAGAGTAGGCTGTAAGCCTCTTATTGTGATTGGAGTCACTAATAATTTGAATTCTCATTTGTTTTAATATAGGCTAAGGTCAGTCCCAGTAGTTAGTTCTTCTTTGTATTCCTCGTACTGCTCTCTTGTACGACGCACAGTTCTTGCCTAAAGCGCTTATGATCTATTCGCAGGTCCGAACCATACCTTTGGTCAGTCTCATTGCAGTTAACGCATTTTTTCTGTCCTTGGCAGGAATCCGCTCGATGACCTGGTGTGTCGCAATTGGAGCACGTCTCTTCATGGTTGCAATCATTGGCCATATGGCCTAAGCTATTGCATTTATAACACCTGAGCGGTCACAAGTACTCATTGATTCTATAGCCCTTCTAACCAACGTTCATTCCGTCGCGTTTTATATTTTTTTTTAAATCTCGATGGCTCAAGTGTGACTACCCAGTGATATCCTCTTTTGCATCTGATGGGAAATACGACTTCATAGTCTCTGTTTAAGATTTTAAGTCATTAACGTATGTATATGTGACTGAAGCGCCACCTTTAATTTTCTTTAGATTTATTTGTTTTAAAGTTTCACTTTAGGTTGCGTGGCAACCTGAGATAGTTTTTTTGTTGTTGTTCTTTTTTGTTGTAATTTAGAATATAATTTTTAGAATCCGTTTTTGATGCTAAATTATTAGTTATTAAAAGATTAAAGTTTTATATTTGTTGTCATTCATTTGTAGAACTTGTGGTTCACTTGATTGATTTTATTTAAAAGGCGTCCGTATTATTTATTTTAACTTATTAACGACATTTGTGGCGTCCGCGACAGGACGGTTGATAGGCTACTTCTCATTCGAAAAATGTTTTTAGAATCAAAAGTATTTAAAAAGGAAGATCTTATTATTGTTGCCCAAGAAATTGGCGAAGTATTACCTCAAAAAGCTACTGTAGCGGATCTGAAAACGATCATTTTGAAAAGTAAAGAATATTTAGCTGATCCAGATTTTGTAACAAGTGTATTGGTAGTTACTGTCAATGATCGACAACAAAAGGAGGAATATGAAGAAAAAGAGAGACAAAGAGAATATGAAGAGAGAGAAAATATAAGAAAACATGAACTGGAGTTGGCGAGACTTCAAGCTACATCGCAAAGATCCGGTGAGTCTCCGCCAAATATTATTAGTGCCAGTGCCAGAAAGCAGTTTAATTTGCCAAAATTAGAACTTAGGCAATTTAGTGGTGATTTAAAAGATTGGCTATCATTTTGGGGACAATTTGAAAAAATTAATAACGATACAGATATTGCCCCTGAAAAAAAAATTTCAATACCTGATTCAGGCTACACTGTTGGATCTAGAGCTAGAGAAGTTGTAGAAAGCTTTCCTCCAACAGCTGCAAACTATACCAAAGCAGTAGATAGCCTCAAAGCCCGATTTGGCAAGGATGACCTTTTGGTCGAAGTTTATGTTAGGGAATTGTTGAAGCTTATTGTTTCCGTTCAAAAGCATAAAAATATATCTATGACGTCCCTTTATGACAAACTAGAGTCATATCTTAGAGCTTTAGAAACGTTAGGTGTTACGACCGAGAAATGCGCTTCAATACTATTGCCTATGGTAGAATCTTGTTTCCAAGAAGAGTTTCTAAAAGCCTGGAACCGAAGTTATTCGCGCGTTGCTTCAGTTGACGCCAAAGAGCGATTAACAAACATCATGGCTTTTCTGAAGGCAGAAACGGAAGGTGAAGAAAGAATTAATTTGGCCATGTCAGGTTTTGGCTTGGGATCTGATGAAAAACGCCAACCCTTTAAAAAGAAAGCAAGAGATTTGCCAACAAAAAGATTTCCAACAGCGGCAAATCTATTGACTACAGATGTAAAAGATTTAAAGAAAGTGCGTGTGTTTTGTTCAGGGAAACATAAAAGTTCAGATTGCTTTACCGCTCGAAATATGACTTTAGCTGAAAGAGAGAACATAGTAAGAGAAAGTCAATGTTGCTTTGCCTGTTTAATGCAAGGACACGCAGTTCGTAAGTGCAAAGCTTTTATAAAATGTGTCATATGCGGTAAAAGATATGTGGTACTAATGTGTGAATCTTTAGCTGCAAAAAATCGTGAACCTGATAAATCTGGGCAGAAAAGTGAAAGTTCTGAAATAAACATGTCCAACATCACGTACGGTCCGAAAGTGTTCCTTCAAACTATGAAACTAAAGCTGATATCTGATAGAAAAGAAATTGTGGTGAGAGCGGTTTTAGATTCTGGATCACAAAGAACATATATTTCAAAAAATTTGACTGAAAAGATGGAATATGTTCCCTTGAGAAAAGAAACTCTCATACACTCTTTGTTTGGTGGTCATAAATCAGATAAATTTGAACACACGTGTTATAGAATTAGATTAAGGAATCCAGAGAATAACTTGACTTGTAACATGGAAGCTTTAGATCAAGCATCTATTTGTGATACTATAACACCTGTTAGCTTTGGACCCTGGTTAAAAGAGCTTGAAGAAATGAATATAAAGTTGTCAGACGTCGGAAATGAGTCACAACCAGTTCAAATTCTGCTTGGAGCTGACGTAATAGGAAAACTTATGACAGGAAAACGAAGAGTTTTGGCAAGTGGATTAGTAGCAATAGAGACACTATTGGGATGGACTTTAACAGGGAAAGCACCTGAAAATGATTTACCGTCAAGCAACGCAATGTTGGTTACTTCACTTTTAGTAAAAGAAATGGATATTTCTGAGCTGTGGAGATTAGATTCTTTAGGAATAAAAGATCCTTCAGAACAAGAATCTAGAGAGGAATTGCAAGAAGCCTCAATGGAACATTTCCTAAATACAGTGAAAGTTGAAGGAGATGGCCGTTTTATAGTTAGTCTGCCATGGCTTGATGGGCATTTGCCCTTGCCAGATAATTATGATTTGGCGTTAAAGAGATTGCAAATGACAACACGCAAGTTGAAAACCAGTTGATGCCTATGAAGAAGTGTTCAAGGACTGGGAGAAAGAGGAAATAATTGAACAGGTTCCAAAAGAAGACATGTGAATACCTTGTCACTATTTACCTCATCGACCTGTGATAAAAGAGAGCAGCACAACTAAAATCAGGTTCAATGCTTCTTCTAAGAGAAAAGGAGTTCCAATTCATAGAAGTTGCTACTAATATTATGGCTGAAAGACAATTTGATTTACGAGGGTGGGAGTCTACTAACCCATCAGAGCCTAATTCTAGTGAAACCAATATTCTGGGAATGAAGTGGAATAGACAAAGTGATACTCTTTTAATTAATATTCCTCATATGAAAGACACAAAACATGAAAAAATCACCAAAAGAAGCATTTTAGCTATCTCACACAGAGTTTTCGATCCTATGGGGATAACTAGCCCGGTATCGCTACGACCAAAATTATGGTTACAAAATTTGTGGAAAGCTAAAATTGGTTGGGACGATGAAGTTGACACAAAAACACGAGAAGATTTTACAAAGTGGCTAAGTCAGCTTGAATATCTGAAGCACATAGAAATCCCAAGGTGGTTACATTGTGACAAAGGTTACGAGCGCATTTCATTACATTTCTTTTGTGATGCTAGTAAATTCGCGTATTCCACAGTAGTTTTCCTGAGAATAGAAGATGAAAGCAATGTTCAAGTTCACCTGATACAGAGTAAAGCAAGAATCGCACCTAGCGGGAAAAAGGAAACAACGATTGCTCGACTTAAACTTCTTGGTGCCACAATTGCAGCTCGTCTGTCTATTGAAATAGTAAAACAGTTTCAGACGGACAAAGTTCATTTCTGGACAGACTCAACAACTGTATTAGCTTTGCTTAAAAGAGAAGACACATGGGGTGTATTTGTGGAAAATCGAGTTCAAGAAATCAGGAAATCGACTCCAGTAAAAGCATGGAGGCATTTGCCCGGATTTATGAATCCCGCAGACTTACCTGGGGCCCTATTACCAGCTTCACGGAATCTGATTCCGATCGAAATGAAGCTCTCGTGACGTCATAAATCCGTGAATGTTAGTTAAGCCGTATTACGAGCCCTTGATTCCACTCGGAACTAAATTCCTATGCGAAATTATTACGAATCCCATTCCGGCAGGTTTAAGAGTAAGCGAAATCTAGATTCCGACAAGCGTTTGTTTATTTTAGTGATCGAAATGGCGCTGATTTCTGTCATTGCTACCGATTAAAGTCAATCTGAAAAACATTTTTGTAGATTTTCTTAGCGTGTAACGCAAAATTCGACAATTTTAATTTAATTTAATTTAAAATCGGGTATTTTTATAGCTTTTATATAATTGTATTTTGATACTTAAATTGCGGCTTATTTTGCTTTACGGGTAGAGTTAAAAAGAAGAGCTTTTCGTTATATTCAGAAAGAAGTTCGTTATTTTCACATTATGTATTTCATAATTTTTATCAGTCGTCGAACAGCCGACTTAATTTTATGTTTACGACTACTGATGTTCAACTCCATTGTCTTGTAATTTTAAATCCAATCCAGAAGACAAGGAGAGTCTTGTATCAAGTATTGAGTGAAATTTGCCTCCATGGAGGACTTTTTGTTGGAACTAACCCTCATTTATGTTACATGGAGCGGAAAACCACGAAAACCTCCCACGGTTAGCCTGACCTCAAGGAGACTCCAGATCCTCTGAGTCACAACGGCTGGGCCTGATTAATAATAAAAAGTGATTGCTTATAAAAAATAATTTCATTGAGATAATGCTGAACATTTAGTTGAAAATCTATTACCGCCAAGCAATCTGAAAAAAATTTTCGTGGTTTTTGTTTGCGTTCAACGCAAAATTTCATAATTTTAATTTCAACTTAATCATGGTTAAAATAAATTATTTTTTCAACTTTTATAAACATTGTTTTTCGCCGATACTTAAATTGCGAGTTACTTTGATTTTTGGGATGAGTTAAAAATATAAATACGAAAAATATAAAGAGCATCTCATTATATTCACAAATATAATTGGCTGTCTGTCAAAGATGCAAAAAAATGATCCATTATGTAAAAAAATTTCATTACGATTCCTGAACATTAAGCTGGAACTGTTTAAGCGTCAAGCAATGTGAAAGATATTTTCGTGTTTTCCCTTTACGCGTAACGCAAAATATGATTGTTTTCATTAAAGAAAAAATAATACAATAAAAATTAAAAAAACAAACATAAAGGCAGAAATGATTAAATATTTACATAAATTATGAGTTATTTTATCTTTCTTCCTTGTTAAAACAAAACAAAATGAAGAGCATTTGATTGAGGGCAATTCATTAGCAGGGTAGATAGTCTTTTGCAGACGTTAAGAACTGATTTGGCAGATTTCTTCATAATAAATGCTACAAATAATTATTTTGATGAAAAAGATTTTTATTTTTAATTCTCATAGGAAAATTTAACAAATTTACAGTTGCATTATAATAGAACTAGACGCTTCAAACTAGTAACTATGGTTGAATAAGCAAATATCCTTCCTTCGGTTTTAATAAAAATCCCAAATTTGCTTGCAATGAAAATAATTATAGACAATCTTGATTTTCCTTCTAGATATTTATTCTAATATGCATTCAGTGGTGGATATAGCTGGCGAATATTGATTTTTGTACGGGAAGCCGTTTTTTAAAGTAAATCGTATGAATTTTCAAGCTTTCAGTTCTAAATTAATGCGATTTTAACTCGCATAGAAGTAGAGAAGACAAACATATCGTTGCCAGATTAATAAATTAGAATTATAGCAATTTCCTAATTGGTCAAAGTTAGCCCCGCCTACAAACTTCAATTTCACCGGAATCGTGTGGAATGGAGATTTCGATTCCGGATTCCGATATGCTCATGCTACGGCAAAGATGGTTTTTCGAAATTGGCAATCCGATGAAAGCTAGTTTCCGATCGGAATCGTTTCCGAGCGGAATAAATTTCGATGAGTTGGTAATAGGGCCCCAAGTAGAGGTTGCTCTGATCAACAACTTGGCAATTCGAAGTGGTGGAAGGGCCCCAGCTGGCTGTATCTTTCCCACACGCAATGGCCTGCAGCAGCTGACGAAATTTCCGTTAATGAAGAGGAAGTAAATTTGGAAAAAAGAAAACAAGTAGTTATCTCTATGGTAAATATTGAAGTAACGGAAATATGGTGTAATTACTTTTCAACATATAGCAGAAATGTAAGAGTAGTCGCTTGGATCCTACGTTTTGTCCACAACGTTTCACATCAGGATAAGTTAAAGGGAAATTTAATCTGTGAGGAGTTAACAAAGGCAGAAAGTGTGATTTTTAAGCCAATGCAAACAACGCATTTCCAAGATGATAAATTTCTCGCCAAAATACAAGCTTTTCGAGATAAAAGTGATATTCTGAGAGTAAAGACCAAACTGGTACATAGTGATGAGAATGAGAATTTCAGATGTCCAATCCTTTTACCTGCTAACAGTGTTGTGTTAGAATTAATCCGTGAAGAGCATATAAAAGCGATGCATGCAGGTCGTTCCATCTTACTCTCAAGACTCAGAGAGCGATACTGGATTCTTAAAGTTAAAAAGTTAATAAACAAAGTTATTTCCAAGTGTGTGACTTGTAAGCGTCATCAAGCTAAACCAGTAGAAGTTCCTTTTGCGCCCCTTCCAAGAGAAAGGGTTACTCAGACAAAAGTTTTTCAAGTGTCTGGTGTGGACTATGCCGGTCCTCTGTATCTAAAATCGAAAGAAAAAGCTTGGATCGTTTTGTTTACCTGTGCTGTGTACCGAGCAGTTCACTTTGAATTAGTACGGTCTCTCACTACAGATGCTTTCATTCAAGCGGTCAGACGATTTATCGCAAGAAGAGGTAGAATATCGGTCATTTACTCGAATAATGGAAAGAACTTTGTAGGAGCAAACCATTATTTAAAGAATTTAGATTGGGACAAGATTGCTGTGTACTCAACCGCTCAGAAAATAATTTGGAAATTTATTCCACCCACAACAGCATGGTGGGGTGGATGGTGGGAGCGGATAGTTGGAATGCTTAAGACTCTTCTGCGTCGTGTGTTAGGTAAATCTGTTGTGGATTATGAAGAACTAACTACAATTTTATGTGACTGTGAATCGGTTATAAATAGCAGACCATTGACCTACATTCACGATAATCCATCTGAATTAGTACCTTTAACTCCGGCAACATTTATATACGGGGAAGGTAGCAACAGCAACGAAACTCCCGATCTAGACCTTGTGAATCGAACCTCTATGTTGAAACGTGTGAAATTTTTGCAAAAATTACGTGAAGATCTCAAACAAAGATTTAGAAATGAATATCTTGCTCAGCTAGTGCACAAGGGAATAAGAAGGAATGATGTTATAAACATCGGTGATATTGTTTTAATAGGACAAGATAATGCTCGACGCATAGATTGGCCTCTTGGAATTGTCTTGGAGCTTTATCCTGGAAAGGACAGTATTCCTAGAGTAGCCAGATTAAGAACCTCTCAAGGAGAAAGGATCCGATCTTTCCAAAGACTTTATCCTTTAGAGCTATCAGCAAAGAACGATGTGGATATTCTGGAAAAGTCTTCAAAGAAAATTAACTTGGAAGTTGATAATATTCCCAATTCCGTTGATGTGCCTGATAATTTGGAAGTGAATTCGCTTATCAAAGGCAGATTGGGAAGAATCATAAAAATTCCACAACGTTTAGATTTATGAACTTTTTGTTATTTATATAATGACTGAAGATTTTTTTAATTAGTTTCATATAAAGGTGACCAATATACATGAGATAGTTTGTATTTTAAAGAAATGCTAAATGCTTGTTCCAAAGTGCTATTTATAATATCACTTTGCAAGGTGGGAGTATGTTTAAGATTTTAAGTCATTAGCGTATGTATATTTGACCGAAGCGCCACCTTTAATTTTCTTTAGATTTATTTGTTTTAATATTTCACTTTAGGTTGCGTGGCAACCTGAGATAGTTTTTGTTGTTGTTCTTTTTTGTTGTAATTTAGAATTATAATTTTTAGAATCCGTTTTTGATGCTAAATTATTTGTTATTAAAAGATTAAAGTTTTATAATTGTTGTCATTCATCTGTAGAACTTGTAGTTCATTTGATTGATTTTATTTAAAAGGCGTCCGCATTATTTATTTTCACTTATTAGCGACATTTTGTGGCGTCCGCGACAGGACGGTTGATACGCTATTTCTGATTTGAAAAATGTTTTTAGCATCAAAAGGATTTAAAAAGGAAGATCTTATTATTGTTGCCCAAGAAATTGGCGAAGTATTACCTCAAAAAGCTACTGTAGCGGATCTGAAAACGATCATTTTGAAAAGTAAAGAATATTTAGCTGATCCAGATTTTGTAACAAGTGTATTGGTAGCTACTGTCAATGATCGACGACAAAAGGAGGAATATGAAGAAAAAGAGAGACAAAGAGAATATGAAGAAAAAGAGAGACAAAGAGAATATGAAGAAACAGAGAAACAAAGAGAATATGAAGAGAAACAAAGAGAATATGAAGAGAGAGAAAGTATAAGAAAACATGAACTGGAGTTGGCGAGAATTCAAGCTACATCGCAAAGAACCGGTGAGTCTCCGCCAAATATTATTAGTGCCAGTGCCAGAAAGCAGTTTAATTTGCCAAAATTAGAACTTAGGCAATTTAGTGGAGATTTAAAAGATTGGCTACCATTTTGGGGACAATTTGAACAAATTAATAACGATACAGATATTGCCCCTGAAAACAAATTTCAATACCTGATTCAGGCTACAACTGTTGGATCTAGAGCTAGAGAAGTTGTAGAAAGCTTTCCTCCAACAGCTGCAAACTATACCAAAGCAGTAGATAGCCTCAAAGCCCGATTTGGCAAGGATGACCTTTTGGTCGAAGTTTATGTTAGGGAATTGTTGAAGCTCATAGTTTCCGTTCAAAAGCATGAAAAGATATCTATGACGTCCCTTTATGACAAACTAGAGTCATATCTTAGAGCTTTAGAAACGTTAGGTGTTACGACCGAGAAATGCGCTTCAATACTATTCCCTATGGTAGAATCTTGTTTCCAAGAAGAGTTTCTAAAAGCCTGGAACCGAAGTTCTTCCCGCGTTGCTTCAGTTGACGCCAAAGAGCGATTAACGAACATCATGGCTTTTCTGAAGGCAGAAACGGAAGGTGAAGAAAGAATTAATTTGGCCATGTCAGGTTTTGGCTTGGGATCTGATGAAAAACGCCAACCCTTTAAAAAGAAAGCAAGAGATTTGCCAACAAAAAGATTTCCAACAGCGGCAAATCTATTGACTACAGATGTAAAAGATTTGAAGAAAGTGTGTGTGTTTTGTTCAGGGAAACATAAAAGTTCAGATTGCTTTTCCGCTCGAAATATGACTTTAGCTGAAAGAGAGAACATAGTAAGAGAAAGTCAATGTTGTTTTGCCTGTTTAATGCAAGGACATCCAGTTCGTAAGTGCAAAGCTTTTATAAAATGTGTCATATGCGGTAAAAGACATGTGGTACTAATGTGTGAATCTTTAGCTGCAAAAAATCGTGAACCCGATAAATCTGGGCAGAAAAGTGAAAGTTCTGAAATAAACATGTCCAACATCACGTACGGTCCGAAAGTGTTCCTTCAAACTATGAAACTAAAGCTGATATCTGATAGAAAAGAAATTGTGGTGAGAGCAGTTTTAGATTCTGGATCACAAAGAACATATATTTTAAAAAATTTGGCTGAAAAGATGGAATATGTTCCCTTGAGAAAAGAAACTCTCATACACTCTTTGTTTGGTGGTCATAAATCAGATAAATTTGAACACACGTGTTATAGAATTAGATTAAGGAATCCAGAGAATAACTTGACTTGTAACATGGAAGCTTTAGATCAAGCATCTATTTGTGATACTATAACACCTGTTAGCTTTGGACCCTGGTTAAAAGAGCTTGAAGAAATTAATATAAAGTTGTCAGACGTCGGAAATGAGTCACAACCAGTTCAAATTCTGCTTGGAGCTGACGTAATAGGAAAACTTATGACAGGAAAACGAAGAGTTTTGGCAAGTGGATTAGTAGCAATAGAGACACTATTGGGATGGACTTTAACAGGGAAAGCACCTGAAAATGATTTACCGTCAAGCAACGCAATGTTGGTTACTTCACTTTTAGTAAAAGAAATGGATATTTCTGAGCTGTGGAGATTAGATTCTTTAGGAATAAAAGATCCTTCAGAACAAAAATCTAGAGAGGAACTGCAAGAAGCCTCAATGGAACATTTCTTAAATACAGTGAAAGTTGAAGGAGATGGCCGTTTTATAGTTAGTCTGCCATGGCTTGATGGGCATTTGCCTTTGCCAGATAATTATGATTTGGCGTTAAAGAGATTGCAAATGACAACACGCAAGTTGAAAACCGACAAATTGTATGATGCCTATGGAGAAGTGTTCAAGGACTGGGAGAAAGAGGAAATAATTGAAGAGGTTCCAAAAGAAGACATGGGGATACCTTGTCATTACTTACCTCATCGACCTGTGATAAAGGAGAGCAGCACAACTAAAATCAGGCCCGTGTTCAATGCTTCTTCTAAGAGAAAAGGAGTTCCTAGTTTAAATGATTGTGTAGAAAAAGGGTTAAATTTGATAGAAGTAATTCCCTCAATGATAAATAAATTTCGGAGATATCAATTTGGCGTAACAGCTGATATACGTAAGGCTTTTTTGCAAATAAGTCTTTATGAAAATGATAGAAATTTCTTGCGATTCTTATGGTATGGAGAAGATGGACAGCTGAAACATTTTCGTCATCGAAGAGTTGTGTTTGGCGTTTCTTGTAGTCCGTTTTTGCTAGGAGCCACTATTCAATACCATTTGAATAATAAACTAGAAGAAGCAATGGGAGGGAATGAAAAATACCCTAAAGAGATTATACAGGAACTAATATGCAGTTTTTATGTAGATAATTGCCTCACAAGCGTGAAAACTGAATCAGAGCTGAAACAATTTATAGAAGTTGCTACTAATATTATGGCTGAAAGACAATTTGATTTACGAGGGTGGGAGTCTACTAACCCATCAGAACCTAATTCTAGTGAGACCAATATTCTGGGAATGAAGTGGAATAGACAAAGTGATACTCTGTTAATTAATATTCCTGATATGAAAGACACAAAACATGAAAAAATCACCAAAAGAAGCATTTTAGCTGCCTCACACAGAGTTTTTGATCCTATGGGGATAACTAGCCCGGTATCGCTACGACCAAAATTATGGTTACAAAATTTGTGGAAAGCTAAAATTGGTTGGGACGATGAAGTTGACACAAAAACACGAGAAGATTTTACAAAGTGGCTAAGTCAGCTTGAATATCTGAAGCACATAGAAATCCCAAGGTGGTTACATTGTGACAAAGGTTACGAACGCATTTCATTACATTTCTTTTGTGATGCCAGTAAATTTGCGTATTCCACAGTAGTTTTCCTGAGAATAGAAGATGAAAGCAATGTTCAAGTTCACCTGATACAGAGTAAAGCAAGAATCGCACCTAGCGGGAAAAAGGAAACAACGATTGCTCGACTTGAACTTCTTGGTGCCACAATTGCAGCTCGTCTATCTATTGAAATAGTAAAACAGTTTCAGACGGACAAAGTTCATTTCTGGACAGACTCAACAACTGTATTAGCTTGGCTTAAAAGAGAAGACACATGGGGTGTATTTGTGGAAAATCGAGTTCAAGAAATCAGGAAATTGACTCCAGTAAAAGCATGGAGGCATTTGCCCGGATCTATGAATCCCGCAGACTTACCAAGTAGAGGTTGCTCTGCTCAACAACTTGGCAATTCGAAGTGGTGGGAGGGCCCCAGCTGGCTATATCTTTCCCACACGCAATGGCCTGCAGCAGCTGACGAAATTTCCGTTAATGAAGAGGAAGTAAATTTGGAAAAAAGAAAACAAGTAGTTATTTCCATGGTAAATATTGAAGTAACGGAAATATGGTGTAATTACTTTTCAACATATAGCAGAAATGTAAGAGTAGTAGCTTGGATCCTACGTTTTGTCCACAACGTTTCACATCAGGATAAGTTGAAGGGAAATTTAATCTGTGAGGAGTTAACAAAGGCAGAAAGTGTGATTTTTAAGTCAATGCAAACAACGCATTTCCAAGATGATAAATTTCTCGCCAAAATACAAGCTTTTCGAGATAAAAGTGATATTCTGAGAGTAAAGACCAAACTGGTACATAGTGATGAGAATGAGAATTTCAGATGTCCAATCCTTTTACCTGCTAACAGTGTTGTGTTAGAATTAATCCGTGAAGAGCATATAAAAGCGATGCATGCAGGTCGTTCCATCTTACTCTCAAGACTCAGAGAGCGATACTGGATTCTTAAAGCTAAAAAGTTAGTAAATAAAGTTATTTCCAAGTGTGTGATTTGTAAGCGTCATCAAGCTAAACCAGTAGAAGTTCCGTTTGCGCCCCTTCCAAGAGAAAGAGTTACTCAGACAAAAGTTTTCCAAGTGTCTGGTGTGGACTATGCCGGTCCTCTGTATCTAAAATCGAATGAAAAAGCTTGGATCGTTTTGTTTACCTGTGCTGTGTACCGAGCAGTTCACTTTGAATTAGTACGGTCTCTCACTACAGATGCTTTCATTCAAGCATTCAGACGATTTATCGCAAGAAGAGGTAGAATATCGGTCATTTACTCGGATAATGGAAAGAACTTTGTAGGAGCAAACAATTATTTAAAGAATTTAGATTGGGACAAGATTGCTGTGTACTCAACCGCTCAGAAAATAATTTGGAAATTTATTCCACCCACAGCAGCATGGTGGGGTGGATGGTGGGAGCGGATAGTTGGAATGCTTAAGACTCTTCTGCGTCGTGTGTTAGGTAAATCTGTTGTGGATTATGAAGAACTAACTACAATTTTATGTGACTGTGAATCGGTTATAAATAGCAGACCATTGACCTACATTCACGATAATCCATCTGAATTAGTACCTTTAACTCCGGCAACATTTATATACGGGGAAGGTAGCAACAGCAACGAAACTCCCGATCTAGACCTTGTGAATCGAACCTCTATGTTGAAACGTGTAAAATTTTTGCAAAAATTACGTGAAGATCTCAAACAAAGATTTAGAAATGAATATCTTGCTCAGCTAGTGCACAAGGGAATAAGAAGGAATGATGTAATAAATATCGGTGATATTGTTTTAATAGGACAAGATAATGCTCGACTCATATATTGGCCTCTTGGAATTGTCTTGGAGCTTTATCCTGGAAAGGACAGTATTCCTAGAGTAGCCAGATTAAGAACCTCTCAAGGGGAAAGGATCCGACCTTTCCAAAGACTTTATCCTTTAGAGCTATCAGCAAAGAACGATGTGGATGTTCTGGAAAAGTCTTCAAAGAAAATTAACTTTGAAGTTGATAATATTCCCAATTCCGTTGATGTGCCTGATAATTTGGAAGTGAATTCGCTTATCAAAGGCAGATTGGGAAGAATCATAAAAATTCCACAACGTTTAGATTTATAAACTTTTTGTTATTTATATAATGACTGAAGATTTTTTTAATTAGTTTCATATAAAGGTGACCAATATACATGAGTTAGTTTGTATTTTAAAGAAATGCTAAATGCTTGTTCCAAAGTGCTATTCTATTATCACTTTGCAAGGTGGGAGTATGTTCAAGATTTTAAGTCATTAACGTATGTATATGTGACAGAAGCGCCACCTTTAATTTTCTTTAGATTTATTTGTTTTAAAGTTTCACTTTAGGTTGCGTGGCAACCTGAGAAAGTTCTTTTGTTGTTGATCTTTTTTGTTGTAATTTAGAATATAATTTTTAGAATCCGTTTTTGATGCTAAATTATTAGTTATTAAAAGATTAAAGTTTTATATTTGTTGTCATTCATCTGTAGAACTTGTGGTTCATTTGATTGATTTTATTTAAAAGGCGTCCGCATTATTTATTTTAACTTATTAACGACAGTCTCCTTTATTAAAATCATTATTGCAATCCTTAAGTTGTCCAATGACTCCTTCCTTGCTTAATGACTCTGGTAGCTCAAAAATTATTATGGGCTTTTTTCTGCTGGGCGCTTGGTTCTTTAAATTCTCACTTAGGCCTTTTTCTTTGAATTGGCGCCTCTTAAGTAGTCTATTATTATTTTTTTCCAACAGGATTTGCGACTCAGCCGCCCAATCTTTCTGACTAATCTTAAATGAGCTCCCAATCATACTCTTCGCTCTCCGACATTCTCAAAATCTTTGCTCTATTAGCTTTGTTCGCCTTCGTCGGTCGTCCCCTCTGTCTGCGTTGGCCGTCAAACGACGTTACTCCCTCGTACCGCGAAGAGGTGCAGAGCAGGAATTAAAGCTTTTGAATGTTATTTGACCGACGTTTAAGAGTTAGAAGGGGGATAGGCACTGACGACTTGTTCCGCCGTGAGTATTCGATTAATAAATATTTTTTACACAGCTTTCGAACTCGAAGGGACTCGAGGGTGATCAAAGCGTAAAGAAGATTGATGTGAAAAGTATCAAAAGTCATTTTGTGGTTGACTTCTACATTCAGTGATTCCTGCATCTCTACAAAAACAAATAAAGTGATGGGTTAAATCAAATTCTGTAATCTTACATCATTTTGAAACCTTGTATGTTAATTATGTCTTCAATACTTTAAAATATATAATTTGTACGGTGTTAATTCAATATTATTTCTAGTATAAAAAGTTCATAGATAACTGAGAAAAAGTTCCGCGTAACTTGTAACAAATGTGAGACTATAAGTCAAAGAAATAATATTTCAAGTTAATTGAAATACGATTCTCTACAATTATAATTAAATCCTGTATTAAACTTTATATTAATTTTTAGAAACTAATGCTTTAATATAGCTCATTTTTATGTTGCACATTTATCCAATATTATTTATTGTAAAAAAAAGTTCTTAACTTTTAGTGTCAAAAAGTCAATAAGGATTGTCCTCTTACTATAATAGAAAAAATGTCGATAGCAACTGTGCACGTCTTCGAAAAAAGAAAACTGAATTCGAGCTTCGTTTTATCAATTTTTAATCAGGTTACATTCAATCAAATTTCAGTTTGGCAATTGATTTTCAATATCACGAAAATATAAATTTTGTTTTTTACTGTAAAAGAGTTAATTTTTTTTAAATAAATGGTTTCGCTTGATGTTGCTCCGATTTAATCTCAATCTAATTAATTCATTAGGTACAATAAATAACTAACGAGTTTCAGGCCATAAAATCACCGTAATTCACACTGTTAAAAGAGTCTTCAAAGAACAGTCATAAGTTTGTTTCTAACTGATTATTCCATCTACAAATTGTTCTAACAACAAGGAACTACTTGAAATTCGTTTCCAGTGTTAAAAAGAAATCAATGAGGTACAACCTCTAACCTCCATCTTTGTAAAGGACAGGTGTTTTTCAAAGATTGTCGGGGAAAGATGTTCCCAAATGACTTTCACTCAATAAATGGAAAGAATACTGAAGTTTGACTCTTTTGGTTTAAAAGCAAATGGAAAAAAAAATTGATTTCTTTCAAATAAACTTTTTTTCAAAGTGTATTGAATGCTAAAACTAATCCCTTTAAGTGAGTAGAATTTCAGAAAAAAGCTCTCTTTTTGAAAGCGACTTTTATTTTATTGGAAAATACTTTATCACAAAGTAAGAAAATTCAGTTATTAAATAAAACTTAAAGTACCGAATAAATAAAATATAAAAAGTATCGTAAAAAATTGGGGTGCATGTAACAGTAATTCTTCTCGCGATATCTTGAAATGTATTTTTGGAGAGAAAAAAAAAGAATTTATTGAGTCGTTTTTCCATTTTTTTAGAAGAAAATCAAAATCGATGTAAGGAAAAGTTGTAGAATTTATATCTATTTTTAAAAGCTCTAACAAATAACGCAAGTCCAAATTTTCTTATTTAATTAAAAAAAATTCTGATTAAACAAAATTAAAAAGCCAGTAACAACAACTTGTTTCTTTTACATCATATTACTATTTTTTCATACAGTGTTTATTCATACATATAAATAATTATATAAATATTCATATGTATCATAATTCATACATAATGACATTATAAATTGATATATTAAATTAAATTAAAATACTGATTATCTTCCATAGAGCTGAGCGCCAACATCTTTAGTAAGAGAGTTAAGACAATAGTGCCAAATTTGCTCGAAATAAGGGTTACGAAACAGAAAGATGGCGGGATGGGTTACCACACTTGGCGAAGTTTCTCTCAAATATCACTTTCTTCTACTGTATAATCCGAATGTTTCGGATGAAATTAATATTTCGTTTCGATAAATTTCAGTTTTCACTTAATCTGAGAGTGAAACTAATCTGATATATTTCTCTATCAGTCTCATATAATCTCCAAAACAATTCATCCAAATGCACTGAAATTTGGCACTCTGACGAGTTGAAGCATGGAGAAGATCGTTGCTAAAAAAAAGAACATTATGGTTTAAATAATGGGGATATTTCAGTATTGTGATCTATTGCGCCAACTACAATCGCCAAGTTGCCAAATAGATTTTAAGCTTTCAATTTTTTTTAAAAAAAATTATGTAGATGTTTGCCCGGGGGTGGTTACGAGTTATACCTTAGGAGTTGGTCTCTTTCTGTGATGTTTTTTTTTAGTTTCTGGCGGGCCGCTGCCCGAAAGTTTCCAAGACTTGGTGATTATTCTTCCACAGATTAGGATACAGAAATCTCCCCTAAATATTTCAGAACGGTGTTTGTAAAAAAAAAATTCTCATAGCATTACCTTTAAGGATTGAACTCTTCATTTAAAGGATAACATCCATAATTTCTGATATCTTGAAACTCTATTTAATAACAAAAATAATATACCTCACAAATGATTGCATGTCCTTAATCTGTGGTCCTTATGTCATTTAGGACAAGAAAAACCCCAATGGATATTTTTTCATGGCAACATGGGGATAACGTCACCGAAATAGTATTTTAAAAGCTATTTTAAGTCACGTGTTAACATTGCTTACAGTAGCATCTTCAAAACGCGTTTCTATACACACAAGACAACAGGAATTAAAAAAAATTAAATTAAAATGATTTACTATAAGTGTCAAATCATTATGTGAATGTGATAAAATCTTGCTTGAACCTCTGAGCATTAGGTTCGGCTTTTTCCAAACTTTCAAGTGGAGGCCATTCTGCCTCAAAATTCCAGTTTCGCCATGCTATTGAATAGGAAAATAGTGCGAAATAGGAAACCTTCTGTACAATTTACAAGCGTTAAAACTTATACAACTTCCAAGCCCTAAAGTCATACAACTTCTTTACAATTTTAGAGCTAGAAAGGGTTAACATAAGTTAGCTACAACCAACATAGCATCATTTCCGGTGGTAAATAGTACTTCGCATAGCTAATTTTTCTTTTGAAGAGCTTTCTAAAACTTCTGCCCTGGTAATTTTAAAAGATTAAGTTTTCGGAAAATACAACAAAGAATAATAAAGAGTGACATAATGAGCTATATTTCAATTCAGCTTGATAAATGGGAGCAGGTCTTAAGAAAATGTGTAAGTAACAAGGCGTTTAGAGCGTTAAAAATAATTATAAAAATATGTGTGCAATTAGTTATTATCACCAAGAATTGAAGTTACAATTGTAGCGGTCCCGCAGCGGACGGTTCTCAGTAGAACACCAAAGTCAAGCACCACTGGCTACGGTCAGTGTGCGGGTGGATGACCACTTTGATTAGTCTGCAAAGAGACCGAGAGTGAGGTATAGGCCCTCGATAAATTGTACCATGAAGTGCTTGCTTCGCGCGCAGGTCGTTGGGCTATCAAAGCAGGGTAGTCAATCCCTCTGCAGAGGATTAATATTGTAATGGCATGTCTTCGGATCATCCTCAGGGAGGTTTCCCACACCGTCGCCAATAGCGCATTGTGCAGCTTTAATGCACCAACAAACCAGCAATAAAAATTGTAACGAATCTTTATCACTGATTAGTCATGTGAAAACTATGCATAATCACATCTTCTAGAGAGTCCTTCGAAAATACCCTTCGAAGTCCTATAAAGTATTTTGCTCATTGGGAAAGGGCAAAAATGAGGTACTCAGTTAAACATCAGTTTAGGGGAAAAATTAATCCCAAGGCTGAAATAAAAGGATCAATAAAAGATAATTCACAGTTCCGAATCTCTTTGTTGATCAAAAATGAGAACAGGATCATAATACATTAGCATTTATTTTAAAAAGTTACACAGGCGAACAAATTTTTTGCTGCATGCATGTAAATCTTTCTTAATTCTGGTAATAGGATTTAAAGCTCCCAAAGATACAGATTTTTTAGGATGACATTTTTAGTCTCTTTTTACCTAAATATACAAGTTTAAGAACGCTTTATACTGCCGGAGTGGCATAAATGTAGTGACAAACTTCTAGGGGAGTGGGAACACTTCATCAGTATAAAAATTGCATAATTGTCGTAGGAGCATAAGGTCACTTCCCTATTTTCAGAAGCACA